TCCTGACAGTATAGGCAGTTGAACACAAATCCTCTTCTTGTGGTTGGTTCTTTCTCAGTTGGTCCCTATCCAGCCGTCTTCTTGCCTCTTCTAAAAACCTTCCGGTTATGTCAGTCAATGTCAGTTTATCTATGGGCAGAACTTCCAGTGAAGATATGTAATCATCATAACTCTCATCCAATGAGGAAAGAATGATGTAAACTTGATGCAGCTCTGAAAATATCAGTTCCTTTTCATGTAGCTCTTGAAAAGTTCTTTTCATGAAGTTTAAATGAGCTAACATATCTCCTTTCAGAAGACGTGCTCTAAACAGTTTACATGTAAGATGTATGTGTGCACCTACACTGTCATGAACATAAATCCTCTTCAAATTCTCCCAACACCTAGCAGCAGACTCTTCTCCATGAATATGGACTAGCTGCTGGTCACTCAGTGTTACTCCAATTATACAAAGAGCTTGTTCGTTGTTCTGTTTAAAGTCAGCTAACTTCTTGGTATCGTCCTCATCATCTGAATCCAAGCATTTACATCCGGTGGATCTTGAACTACAGTCCATAACCCTTCTCTACCCAGAAGTAGACTGCACTTCATAGACCAGGAAACATAGTTTGTTCCATCCAACCGGGTTATCAGTGATAGACATGTTGACGAGTCTTGTGCCATCTTTACCAGGACAGTAAACCACAACTAAACAGTAAATAGCTGTCTGTATACGTTACTGTGTATTCACACTACCTCTCAGTTAACTGAGCCTGGTATGGCCTGGGCCCATAACCAGGGTTGAGGTAATTCCCCGTTAGGAGAATGAGTGCACTCAGGGAAGCGTAGTGAGAGTGGTAAGGAATAACACACAACCAGCACACAGATACACTGAATAGTAATATGTAGGTTTTACTTCCAGTAAATGGTTAAGCAAAGTCCAACAAACAGTCCAAGTCATACATGGTTATAGCAGTAAGTTTTCAGTCCAGGGATAATCCAAATAACAAAGTCCAGTATCATAAACAGTTCAGTAACAGACTTACATCAATCCAAGAATAACGATGATCAGCAACAATCAATAGGGAAATGCAGGAACCAAAAACAACGAACATCAGAACATTGACCAACTAGCAACTAGCAACACTCTCTGGGAAACCAGGTTTCTGACTCCATCTTAAGGAACCACACCCAATTACAATTTTTAGCATTCCCTTAAAGAGACAGTATTAAAATGTCTATCCTGGTTTATGTATTTCCAACCCAACTGTTAGGTGACTATCAATTCCTAACAACCTACAGCACCTGGCTCATCACTTCCCCGCTCTAGAACCAGAGGCTGAGATCCTACTCTTGCTGGGAAATAATGCCCCATGTGCCTTTCTCTTCTCCGAGTCAGTTGGCAGCCCTGTAGATGGCCCAGTGGCCATCAAATCTCCACTAGGATGAGGGATTGTAGGAATTGTGTCGATCGGATGCAGGCCCCAACCCAGGCAAATGCCTTAGCACCATCCATTCCAACAGCCTTCCGACGCCCTTTAGCACCATCGAAAACAAGAATGCCATTCCAGACTAAAAGGACACTTTTGCTAGGACACGCTAAACGGCTGCCAGCAACCATCAGATGTCCACTAAGATGCTCTACACAGGCATATGCCTCCACAACACCCTTTCCAACAGCTTCTTGACGCCCTTTGACACCAAGAGTACCGTTCCAACCCTAAAAGGCCGCCAGAAGCAACCACCAGACTTTCACCATTAGTACCAAGAATACCTGTCAACCCTAAAAGGCCACCAGAAGCGACCACCAGACTTTCACCTTTGCCACCAAGAGTACTTGTACACTCTTAAAAGGCCACGAGAGGTGACCAGCAGACTTGCACCAAGAGGCCAAACTTGAAGATTGAACCTCAAGCTTTGCATGCTTTGCTTTGTTTGATGCTTTAATGTTTACTTTTTTTCTTAGTTATATAGCTGTTTATCTTAGTTATATAGTTATATGCTATTCAGTTAGTATTACTCTCTACTGCTTATCTTATTTTATTTTTTTCTCTTTTAATAGTGGAATTTACAATTCCAGGCGGGGAGTGTGCTGTCCAGCCAGTGTATGGAAATTGGATAGTTAGGTAGCAATTGTGAGCTGTCCCCTTAAGGGAATACATCATGGTAAATGTAGTTAAGGTATCCTGGGAAATGTAGTCCATATCACGTGACCACATCTGTAATCCTGATTGGTCACTAAATTGATCCTCGAGGGGTTGGGGGAGGTTTTCCTCACTCTTGGTTGAACTCATGAACTTGTGGTAACTCTACTACTTCTATCGCTACGACATGGGGGGGAAAGGATAGAAGATAAATCATCTTTTTACCTACAAGACAGATATACAAAGGATTGGTCATTAAAGAACTTCACCACAAATGTGAGTTAGGGGGATACTTGATGAACCAATAAAAGTACTTCGTTATGGCTGTTTTGTGGAGTTATCTGCATCTGTACAGGATACAGAATAGAGTATATTAAACCAAAGAATAAATTTATAGTTTATAAAATAACCTGGAATTTTATTACAAATTCTGGGGACTTCAGTAATCCCATAAACCCTCCCTAAAGGATCACAGTCTTTTAACCATTACAATCTGGAAATCTCTCCCCCTCCCCAAACTATCTGAAACCCAGAGATTCTGTTTTTTGTACTCATGTTTCACTAAATCAATTGAAAACATTTTTTTCCAGTCTTTGGGAGAGATTCGTGTTCCGGTGAGTTAAGCAAAGGCGGGTTAAACAGATCCTGAATTCCAGATTGTTTGAAAAGCTTTGGGGGTCCAGAGGTGGCTTGGATCCTTTCCAGGGATGGGGGGCTGGAGGGGTCAGACTCTTCCCCTGGCCCAGCACCAGCCTCAGCAGATCAGAGCCGGATCTCCCCTGCAGCTGAAGCAGGCGGCAGAGTCCACATCTGCCCCCCAGTTGTGTATCTGGACACAGCTGGTCACACAAAGTCAGGCCCAAATCCAGGCAGCCTCTGTGGGGCGTCCAGCCTGACCCAAGCAGAACCTCTCGGCTGCTTTCCTGCTTCCCTTCCCATCCCTACACAGTTTCTTCCTCCAACCCCCATCAGCTACAGAGGCCCTTGGGTTCCGCTATTGGGCTCCTCTGAAGCAGCACTGAAGAACTGGCCAGGATCCAGCAGGCAACAAGCCTGGATGCTTCACCAGGGCAGCTCAGGGACTGTCCTCCTCCATCCCATGGCTAAGAGTCCAGGTGGGGCAGCCACAAGGTCCTCTGGCCCACCAGAAGTCCCACTAACCTTCTTTCCAGCTCCGTTCTCCTGTGCAGGGCAACCAAAGAAGACCCAATCAATCAGCTGGGACTCAGGATGCAGAGAATAGATGGGGGCGGGGCCAGTCAGAGGTGGTATTCCGAGTGGTTGAAGAGCCCCTTCCCAACTCCCGGGGAGACCTTGGAGAGCCCAGAAAACAAGGGTTGGACAAATGTCACTCAAAAGACCCAAATTCTCCCCCTTTGGAACTGATTTTTCATACTAGTTTGTGAAAGCCATTTGTAATTTCCTCATTGAGGCCAGCAGAAAGTGCAGCTCCGAATTAATGATAAGCAAGATATAAACTGTTTACATTCACATAAATTGTATATATTTGTAAATAATTCATAAAATAGTAGTATAAGACAAATGTCACAAACAAATTAAGATATTTGTACTCTTTGTTTTTTTAAAAAGTTATAAAAGACTAATAACATTTATTAAAAAAAGGAAAGAAAGTGCAACTCTGAAGCCTTTCCTCATTGCGGGGCATGAACATTATGAGGTTAAAAAAATCTTGGACTCTAGGATTTTCAGAGGGAAGTTACAATATCTAATTTATTGGAAAGTCTATCCTATTTCACAAGCAACTTGGGTAAATAGCTGGAAAGTGTAGACTGGTGGAAAAATTCCATGAAAAATATCCACACAAGCCCAAAGCGGATCCTGTGGGTGGCAGAGATTGTTAAATTGCTGTATTGTATCATTGTGTTTAACCTAATTTCAATCTTTGTGTACTCTGTCGTTGCAGGGGTTTCTTTTCAAGTGAGGGGGGGCAGTTTGTCAAGCCCAAAATTGACATATGCATAGCCATTTTATTTAGCCTTTTAATATATTCCTTTTTTTTCTTTCTCTTTGCTGGTTATGGGGGGGGGGGTGTTCAGGCTTGCCACATTCCTAAGGTGGGAGGAGTGGAGATAGTGAGAATTGTCTAGGCTAAGTGATTTTCCTTCCCGTGGGAAAAGAAACTGACCCTGCTGAGGCCTTGAGGTGGAGATTGATGACACCGGGCAATATTGCTTTACTTCTATTGAGGAATGTGACTTTTGGGGGTTGTTTCTAATTTCCAGTATTATGTGATGTAATTCCTGGTTGTGTCAGATCCAGAATTACAATGGACATTGCCAATTTGATGCTTTCCTAAATAAAAGAAATTGTTTTGGAAAACGGACTTTGCTCTTTTCTTTTTAAATGGATTTTATCACTTGGAAACCTGACAAGGATTATAGCAACTTTATTGGCTGCTGCTGCACACATGTGACTCATGTTTAAGTCATCATCCATTTTGGACTCCCAAGATCCCTTTCACTGTTTTTGAGCCAGATTTCCTGTAATCTGTTTTTCCTGCCCAGGGGTAAAATCTTACTTTTTTCCACATTAAGTTTCATTTTGTTGGATGCAACCTTGTCTCATTTGGATCAGAAAGGCAGAATATGCATACACATACAAATCTATAGAGACATAGTGGATCAGTGGTTAGAATGCAGTACTACAGAGGCTGATTGTCCACAGCCAGGAGTTCAATCCTGACTGGCTCATGGTTGATTCATCCTTTCATCCTTCTGAGGTGGCTAACTTTGTAATATGCTCAGAGAATGTGGTAAAGCATTGTGGAGTGGTATATAACTCTAAGTGGAATTGCTGTTGTTTCTCCCGAGTGTGGATCCTTTATGACAAGATCATCATTCTGAGCAAAACTCTTTCAACATTCCATGCATTTATATGGCTTCTCCTGTGTGGATCATCTTATGGGAAATAAGACTACGTTTTTGAGCAAAGGTTTTTCCACACTCCATGCATTTATACGGCTTCTCTCCTGTGTGGAACATTTTGTGGCTTCTAAGGCCACTGCTCTGAGTAAACATCTTTCCACACTCCATACATTTATATGGCTTCTCCCCTGTGTGGATCATCTTATGGGAAATAAGATGACCTCTTTGTACAAAGGTCTTTCCACACTCCATGCATTTATATGGTTTCTCTCCTGAG